TGGAACAATTTTTTTTAATAAGTGCTCATGTTCTCTCCAAATTCCAAGATTTAATAGCAAAAGACTCGTGTGCACCAAGTTTGCCTTCTCTGTTAAACACTTTCTACTTTGTAAATAAGTTTCCTCAGAATTGTTAGATCACATGAGCAATGATCGATCGATCTCTTTTTGTTTATTGTACTCTATGATCTTACATGATTTGTAAAGCATTACTTTCAAATACCTCCTGTACTGTTGTGTACAATTTTTCTAGTATTTTACAGAAGCAGCCCAGAGCTTGAGAAGTCTTTGTATTATTAGCCATATGTCAGGGATGCCATATGTTAGCGTCGTCGAGCTGTCAGAGTATCAGCATATTTCAAACACTTGCTATGTCAGCATATTTCAAAAACTTGCTAGCCATGGTGTCACAGACTCCTGTAAGATTAGACAAGGTCGAGTCAGGGTGGTTATGAGGAGAGCATTAAGCCCACCGTGTATTTCAATCACCATCACTCCATCTAAGAACCCGACTACCTGGTCCTCGTTGCCCCCACTACCTGGTCCTCGACGAGACCTCCCGGTGGATCAACCATGCTGTTACTGCTAGCTGCCAAGCAGTAGCAGCCTGGTGCCTGATCAACCCAGCTGATCAGGCACTGCCATCAAAAAACCCCACCGGCCTTTCTGCCATCATACTGTCTGTCTTCCTTCATTCCGCCCTACTATCATCACTCTCGCCCTCCTGCCTCACTCGTGCCCTCCTGCCATCCTTCCTGCCCGTCTGCCATCACCCCTGCCCTCCTACCATCCCACTGCCCTCCTGTCATCCCACTGCCCTCCTGTCATCTCACTGCCCGCCTACCATCACTCCATTCCTCCATCCATCTCTTCCTCTCCATCCCCCATAAAAAGTACACAATAAATAAAGCGACTCGTTCCTTTGTTGTCGATACACACTGACAGCAAAACACATTCTCACCCTGCATAGTTAAATTCCTCGCAGCCACGGTGGGGCTTTCTGCGTGTTGCTGAGAAGTACACGGGACACACACACATACACACATACACACACACACACACACACACACACACACACACACACACACACACACACACACACACACACACACACACACACACACACACACACACACACATACGACGACGAGGTGGATAGGGACAGGATGTTCCAGAGATGTGACACAGGAACAAATGGTCACAACTGGAAGTTGAAAGTTCAGATGAGCCACAGGGATGTTATGAAGTATTTCTTCAGCTATAGGGTTGTCAGGAAGTGGAACAATCTGGAGAGTAATGTAGTGGAGACAGTGTCCATGCATAGCTTTAAGAAGAGGTACGATAAAGCTTATGGTCTCATCGACTCCAGGCTTAGGGACTGATTACTTCAAACTCCCTCTGATTTTCAACTGTTCTTCTCTATTGCACTGAGAAAGCTACTGGTTGGCGAAACGTTTCCGCACAAGTGTCTAATTCAGAGCTACCTGGCAGCGCAAGCAGAGAGGCGCCTTTCATTTTTTGATTTCGTGAGGAAGATAATTAGTAATCCAGCTGCAGTTTGTCAGAAAATAGTTAACTCACTGCCTCACACCAATGCTGTTTCTAGCAGTCTCGACACCGTTGAGAGTATTGGAAATAGTTAAAAAGAGACCTCCAGGTAAAAGACTTGTAGGTCCCGAATAGCCAAACAATCAGCCGCGTCTACATGTTCCCTCGATCATCAAAATGTCCACTAAGCATAAAAAATACTCATTTCTTTTAACCTGCAGAAATAGGACATAACCTTTCCTGTATGTGATTCACGACAAAACGTGGCGATTCATGCTTCCGAATGGCATGTTAAGGACTTTTTGTAGTCTGAATCAACAACGAACTAGATGATCCTCGGCTGTTTCCTTATCCGGTAAATGTACTCCCGAATCACGTAACATAATTCTCATATCCCTCGGTGTAGCCATGAGACACAGCAAGTACACCTCCAGACCCTCTAGAGAGGCAAGGATCTGCTGCTTAATTAACTTCCCTTAGAACCTGGGAGGTGTATCTCAACTCTCTCCAGGAGCTGGAGATCAACACTTTAAAGAGGCCCTAAAGATTAAGCATAATTCATTTAAAAAGTTAGCAACTGAAGCTTAGCACTGTCAAATAGCTATAGATTGACATCGTTAAAAGGGTCAGAAACTGTAACTCGACCCAGTCTGACACTGAGAATAAAAATAAAATAATAATAATAATAATAATAATAATAATAATAATAATAATAATAATAATAATAATAATAATAATAAATAATAATAATAATAATAATAATAATATTATTATTATTATTATTATTATTATTATTATTATTATTATTATTATTATTATTATTATTATTAATTATAATCTGAATTTCTTCAAGTACATGTACAAGGTATACAGACCATGGCTGACATCAAGGACATACTACTATATAGAAAACCGCTTGTTATGCAGAGCATTTCGGGCAAATTAGGTTAATTTTGTCCCTGGATGCGATCGACACCAGTCGACTAACACCCAAGTACCTATTTTACTGACAGGTGAACATGGACGGCAGGTGTCTTCAGGAAACACGTCCTAATGTTTCCACCCGTACCGGGGATCGACCTACGAACCTCACTGTGTTAACTGAGTGCGCTAGCAATCGATCTGTGCAACCACACAGAAATGAGACAACATCAAGGCATACAGAACACTTTATGTAGCCATATTTCATGCACCAGTACAGCATATATCAAACAAAACACTTAACTATTGTTAAAACTGGCAGACTATTTCAGTGCTGCCCGAGCATATTTCGTGCTTCTCGCAAGATAAGCTATTAGTGTAAAAATTTCTTTTGTCTAGTTTAGTAATTTTTCCATTGGTTTCAAAAGTTTTCTTCCCTGCTCCTGCCTTATCATGAGGCAGGTGTTGGGGGTCTGTCACCTCTGCACCTGCCATATCAGGAGGATGTTGGGGACGCATGACTCTTTCACCTGGACTCGGGTGAGATTCATGATCATGCACATAGACTGTCAGGAGACTGGTGTGTGGGAATCATGTCTCTTACCTGCCTTCCAGGAGGAAGGTGTTGAGGACAACCCCTGGCACCTACTTTGTTAAGACTTAGAAGTAAGGGACTCATAGCCCCACCACCGCCTTGTCCCGAAAGAAATGTGGAGACTCAGACCCCTGCACCCGCCTCGTCAGGAGGCAGTTGTGGGGGATACATCCCCATACCCACTTTATCAAGAGGTGGTTTATGTATCTTAGTTTTAGGTTCTAAAATATAATATGATTAATTTCATCATGGTGAAGTTTTTAAATTACAATAATGCAGCAACAAAAAATACATCCACTAAATAAAAATTTTAAATATAGTAAACATTTTTTAAATCATATAAAACAAGCCTCTAGAAATAAATGGTTTACTCAACAATGTGAATAAAAAAAAAACTCCTCATTTTAAACTCTTTGACTACTGTATTGTCTAAAAACTACTCAAGGGTTCAAGGAATAAAATGACATAGTTTGTTTACACTGGTTCTCATATGAATATGGATTAAGAACCTTGAACCTTCACTCTCTTGAGAGGACGTAAAATGAGAGGGAATATCATTAAAGTATGTACGTGGAAGGTGACCATAAACAAAGGTTATATAAATAAAGTACTGAGGATATCCAATTAAGAACCAGAAAGGCAAAAATAACAAGAAACTGTCTATTAAACAGTTTATACATGTCAGTTACTCCAGTGTCAACTGTATATTGTACTTTATAAATCCGATTTAGAAATTAAGGTCAGAGTGGGTATCAGTGGCTTGCAGAATCTGACGTGTTGTTAGAATTAGAGCATCAATAACATTTATGAAGATATTCCGGTAAACCAGTTTATATGGAATACAGTTCTGTAGATGGAAACTTCAGTGTCTGAATTGAACAAGACGGGTAGGGATGTTGTACTTCCTAAAATCATTTGAACTGTGATATCTGTGTAAATCTGAGAGAATGTGTTTTCTGTTTTTATCACCTTCAACTTTAGTGGTAAATTCCCGGTGTGGTAAAAAAAAACGGACTGGAAAAAATTGAGGTAGACTTTATCCAAACAGAAGAAATGGATGAAGGTGAACGCATGTTATATAAATACGTTGTCAATGTTATGAAAAAACGGATTGGAAAAAATTAACGTAGACTTTATCCACACAAAAAAAATAAATAAGTTAATAATATTAGGAATAATAGAAGGGAAAACTTTGAGAGATTTGCTGATTTCTGTCTCTTTTTCAAATTCATTGATATTACTTCGTTCGTAATTCGAGAACGTCTTACCCAATCCGCTTCAAATTTTCAACGCTAGTGTATAGTAATGAGTACCAGACTCTTGGACCAACTGGCTTGTCCACTTGCTCCATGAGGAATGTTGTTGAGCCCTGTCACAGTGTCTTGGAATGGCTCAGATAATTTCTAAAACTCTCAGTTGGCGTTGCTTAAAACGTTCAAAAAAGGCGAAGAGTGAATGCAAGAGTATAGGTGCAAATTTGAGGGATAAAGAAAGAAGTGGAGAAGTAGTGGTAGAGGTAATGCAGTTAGTGGAAGTAGCACTAGTAGTAGTTGTAGTAGCAGTAGTAGTAGTAGTAGTAGTAGTAGTAGTAGTAGTAGTAGTAGTAGTAGTAGTAGTAGTAGTAGTAGTAGTAGTAGTAGTAGTAGTAGTAGTAGTAGTAGTAGTAGTAGTAGTAGTAGTAGCAGTTGTAGAATTAGTAGTTACGGTTTTGTGCCTTGTTCTTTGTGATGATAATTTTTTTTTTTCTCTCTCTCTCTCTCTCTCTCTCTCTCTCTCTCTCTCTCTCTCTCTCTCTCTCTCTCTCTCTCTCTCTCTCTCTCTCTCTCTCTCTCTCCGGAATAAAAACAATGTTGAAGACAAGACCAAAAAAAAAAAAAAATATCAACAAAATTCCACTCTCTCCACTGATTCTGGATTTATATTTTTCATCCTTCAGTCTCAAAACTCGACCGAGTTCAAGGTGACTCTGAGAAGCCTCAGCTTGAAGTCTTCCGGCATGTTTACATGTGAAGTGATTTCTGATGACAATTTTGAGACCTTCAGGGAGTCTGCCAACATGACGGTGATAGGTAAGTCTCTGATTGTCCTGCCACTCTAAGTGGCCATAGATTTTGCTCAAATTATTATTATTATTATTAATATTATTATTATTATTATTATTATTATTATTATTATTATTATTATTATTATTATTATTATTATTATTAAAGCCAATAAGTTTTGGAAGAGTGTGTCTGTGTATTATACGTATCCACATGATTGGAAACAGGGCAGTTTAAATTTTCTGTTTCTCCTTGATTAGTAAATGATCATTCTGGTATAACCTCGCTGGTGAGATTATTTTGATTCCGGTTCATTTGTATATCTTCCACGTCAAGGAAAAGACTAATAATCCATCATAGTTTTGAAATAATTTAGGAAAAATTAAATGACAGCCATTTAAGTTAACTAGTGAAATAGGAATGAAAAATACAAAAACTTCATTCGCCTTATCTATTATACATTAAATATAGCACACGTGTTTTTCGTATCAGCTCTATATAAGCTCCTCCAAAATTATTCATAATCTATATTTCTTAAAAATAAGGAATAATGGTATTAATATAACATAAAATATTCACATAGTATCTACCTATATATCAAACATAATATTACCAAAACGTGGAATTTTCTATTTAGTGTTAAAATTTCTGCATATATTACTTGCATTTCTATACAGAAAAAAATCCAAATCATTCAGAAAATTTTTATTTCGTTGTTCATTCGAATTTCCTAAAATTTCAGTTGTGCCATTATAAGACTGATTAAATAAATTTTTCAAATCTGTATATTTTCTGAAAGTGACCAACCACAGTGTGAAAGTGACCAACCACACAGTGAAAGTGACCAACCACACAGTGAAAGTGACCAGCCACACAGTGAAAGTGACCAGCCACACAGTGAAAGTGACCAGCCACACAGTGAAAGTGACCAACCACACAGTGAAAGTGACCAGCCACACAGTGAAAGTGACCAACCACACAGTGAAAGTGACCAGCCACACAGTGAAAGTGACCAGCCACACAGTGAAAGTGACCAGCCACACAGTGAAAGTGACCAACCACATAGTGAAAGTGACCAGCCACACAGTGAAAGTGACCAACCACACAGTGAAAGTGACCAACCACACAGTGAAAGTGACCAGCCACACAGTGAAAGTGACCAGCCACACAGTGAAAGTGACCAGCCACACAGTGAAAGTGACCATCCACACAGTGAAAGTGACCAGCCACACAGTGAAAGTGACCAACCACACAGTGAAAGTGACCAACCACACAGTGAAAGTGACCAGCCACACAGTGAAAGTGACCAGCCACACAGTGAAAGTGACCAGCCACACAGTGAAGTGACAACCACACAGTGAAAATGACCAGCCACACAGTGAAAGTGACCAGCCCACAGTGAAAGTGACCCGCCACACAGTGAAAGTGACCATCCACACAGTTTAAGTGACCCGCCACACAGTGAAAAATGACCAACCACACAGTGAAAGTGACCCAACCACACAGTGGGAAAATGACCGCCACCAGTGAAAAATGACCAGCCACACATGTGAAAGTGACCGCCCACACAGTGAAAGTGACCAACCACACAGTGAAAGTGACCAGCACACACAGTGAAAGTGACCAACCCCAAGTGAAAGTGACCAACCAACAGTGAAAGTGACCAACCACACGGAAAGTGACCAACCACACAGTGAAAGTGACCAGCCACACAGTGAAAGTGACCAACCACACAGTGAAAGTGACCAACCACACAGTGAAAGTGACCAGCCACACAGTGAAAGTGACCAAAACCACACAGTGAAAGTGACCAGCCACCCCAGTGAAAGTGACCAACCACACAGTGAAAGTGACCAACCACACAGTGAAAGTGACCAACCACACAGTGAAAGTGACCAACCACACAGTGAAAGTGACCAACCACACAGTGAAAGTGACCAACCACACAATGTCACACACATCTGACACAACCTCCCAGTTTTTTGCTGTTTGTTCAGGAATATATGCCAAGCTTCATTATAAATTTTAGGTATTGCGTTTAGTAAGTATCTTGGAGTGGGAAGACACGGAAAGATAATTTGTAATTTCTATTTATACTTGGAAACACACTTATGACCTTTCATACCACTACGCAAAATTACTTATTTGATTAAGTGGAACCTCTAAATAATATTTATGTTTGATAATTTTATCAAAAAGGATAAAAAAAAAATAGCAGAATAGTTTGATGGAACAAAACCTGACAAGTAAAAAGGACAGAACCTGAATATTGGCCGACCTTCTCAATGTTTAATTACAACTCTCTAATTCACTTCTCTCTCTCTGGGTAATTAACTTGCATTTCGTCGAGCTATAACATGGGAAAAACCCCAGTTGCTTTTATTTTATATATCGGATTACGACTGGAGAACCTTGAGTTTTCCCTGAAGCAAATTTATTCTTTCTTTGAGGATGAGGATCCCTAGGACAGTTCCAGAGGTGGTATCTTCCTATTATATATATATAATATATATATATATATATATATATATATATATATAATATATATTATATATATATATATATATATATATATATATATATATATATGACTCACGAAATCGTAATTACACGGGCTGGAGTTTTGAGACTCTCTGACCGCGGGTTCAATCCCGGCCGGGGTATGGTTTGATATATATATATATATATATTATATATAATATATATATATATATATATATATATATATATATATATATATTATATATATATATATATATATATATATATATATACATAGATACTTAATTTATGATACTGTACACAAAAATACTCTTAAGATATTGCACCATCTGGTACGTTACTATATTGAAATTACAGTTAAGATGTGTGCGTATGTGTGGTCTTGGCTAAACTCGACTTTTTACGTGACTGACAAAACAAATCCCAAAATAAACCAACTGACCCACAGAATAGCAATAAAAGAATTAGCTTGAACTTTGAGAAAAACGACTAATTCGCCAAAGATTTAAGCACAGAGTTACTCTGTAATAACTCTGTGTAACTCTGAACATACATCTCATAACTCAGTTACACAGAGCTACGAGATATATACTCTAAAAGATAATAGTCTAAATGACAAGAGGACAGGAGAACAGTGTTCTCATACGGAAGAGAAAGGAGGGGGGATGTTGCCCCGGTGTTCCAGAAGGAACGCTGGAGACGCTCCATAGCACCTTCCAGCAGCTTACCACACACCCCAACAAGCAAGTCTTCACTGTGTGTAACCAATCGAGTTCAGATTGTAGTGTAATAGTTACGTCCTACCTATATACCTAACTATACACTTTTAATTTTCTTGCAAGTGCCGAAATGTTTTTGAGTTTTCACTTCAGCACTTCAGTTTCCAAAGCAACAGTTCCCATGTATCAGAAGTTCTCATTATCAGTCATGCATATCACAACTTTCTCCGTGTCTATTTCAGACCCCCCGGACGGGAACATACCAGGAAAGTACGGTCCTGTCATAGAGGTGGCTGGGTGGGGTGGCTCCGGACCTCTGGAGGTGCGCGACGGAGAGCAGGTGGAGGCCTTATGCCTGGCCAGGGGAGCTAACCCACCTGTCCAACTCTCCTGGTATAGCAACGACACTAAGGTAAGTCTAGGTACATATTTACCTGCTTTCGCCTACCTAAGAGTTTCATTTGGTATGATGACAGCATGAGCAACTAAGCCTATTCTCTAATGACTTAGAAAAAAATGCAACAAAGCGAATATATTTTAAATTCAATCATACCTAACTTTTAAAGTAAAAATGAAAGACAGTGCTCAGTCATATTTCCATTCATACTTTGATTTAAAAATTTATTCTCCATATTAGAGACGTTCTGCATGTGCCTCGCGTTATCCTGCCTCACAATTAACACAGTATATTTTGACCACAGCCAAATCTGACACTTAGATGATGCGTTTACCACAGCTTATTCTGCCTCTCATATGATGCATGCTCCACAGCCAGTTATTCTGCCTCTTAGACGATACATGTACCACAGTAAATTCTGCCTCTTGGATTATACATATACCATAGCATATTCTGTCTATCTGATGATACATGTGCTAAAGCATATTGTGCCTCACAGATCATGCACCACAGCATATTCTGTCTCACAGATCATGCACCACAGCATATTGTGCCTCACAGATCATGCACCACAGCATATTCTGCCTCACATATGCACCACAGCATATTCTGCCTCATATATCATGTACCACGGCATATTCTGCCTCATAGATCATGTACCACAGTATATTCTACCTCACAGATCATGTACTACAGTATATTCTGCCTCACAGATCATGTACCACAGCATATTCTACCTCACAGATCATGTACCACAGTATATTCTACCTCACAGATCATGTATCACAGTATATTCTACCTCACAGATCATGTATCACAGCATAGTCTCTCACAGATCATGTACCACAGCATACTGTGCCTCACAGATTATGTACCACAGTATATTCTACCTCACAGATCATGTACCACAGTATATTCTACCTCACAGATCATGTATCACAGCATTTTCTGTCTCACAGATCATGTACCACAGCATACTGTGCCTCACAGATCATGTACCACAGCATACTGTGCCTCACACATCATGTACCACAGCATATTCTGCCTCACAGGCCATTAATTCAAATATTTTTCAAGGATGCATATAGGATCTTCATTGACCCGGCCTACCCGGCCTGGTCCCGCGAAGATCCTGCATTCAATAAAGTACTAAGGACATGGACATGTCCTTATTAGATTTCCGTATCATCAAGTACATCAGACTGATCTTCCTCACGTTTTCTTTCCCTCCTTCGCCAACCCTTCATCACTTTTCCTCTCCCATTTCTATTATGCATTGTCTTGGTACTGTCCCAACTTCATAACATTTTCCGCTCTTCACCTTGATATGTTGCCACCCTGGATTATCCTGACCTGGTCCATCACACCCTGACATGGTCCATCACACCCTGGCATGGTCCATCACACCCTGGCATGGTCCATCACACCCTGACATGGTCCATCACACCCTGACATGGTCCATCACACCCTGACATGGTTCATCACACCATGGCATGGTCCATCACACCCTGGCATGGTCCATCACACCCTGACATGGTCCATCACACCCTGACATGGTCCATCCCCACCCTGAGATGGTCCATCACACCTGAGATGGTCCATCACACCCTGACATGGTCCATCACACCCTGACATGGTCCATCACACCCTGAGATGGTCCATCACACCCTGACATGGTCCATCACACCCTGACATGGTCCATCACACCCTGACATGGTCCATCCCCACCCTGAGATGGTCCATCACACCCCTGACATGGTCCATCACACCCAGACCTGGTCATCACACCCTGAGATGGTCCATCACACCCTGACATGGTCCATCACACCCAGACCTGGTCCATCACACCCTGACCTGGTCCATCACACCCTGACATGGTCCATCACACCCTGACCTGGTCCATCACACCCTGACATGGTCCATCACACCCTGACATGGTCCATCACACCCTGACATGGTCCATCACACCCAGACATGGTCCATCACACCCTGACATGGTCCATCACACCCTGACCTGGTCCATCACACCCTGACCTGGTCCATCACACCCTGACATGGTCCATCACACCCAGACATGGTCCATCACACCCTGACATGGTCCATCACACCCTGACCTGGTCCATCACACCCTGACATGGTCCATCACACCCTGACATGGTCCATCACACCCTGACATGGTCCATCACACCCTGACATGGTCCATCACACCCTGACCTGGTCCATCACACCCTGACATGGTCCATCACACCCTGACATGGTCCATCACACCCAGACATGGTCTATCACACCTTTACAAGGTTCATCACACCCTGACATGGTCCATCACACCCTGACATGGTCCGTCACACCCTGACATGGTTCATCACACCCAGACATGATCCATCACACTCTGACATGGTCCATCACACCCTGACATAGTTCATCACACCCTGACATGGTCCATCACACCCTGACATGGTTCACCACACCCTGACATGGTTCACCACACCCTGACATGGTCCATCACACCCTGACATAGTTCATCACACCCTGACATGGTCCATCACACCCTGACATGGTTCACCACACCCTGACATGGTTCACCACACCCTGACTTGGTTCACCACACCCTGACATGGTCCATCCCACCCTGGCATGGTTCATCACACCCTGGCACGGTCCATCACACCCTGGCATGGTCCATCACACTCTGACATGGTTCATAACATCCTGGCATGGTCCGTCACACCCTGGCATGGTCCATTACACACTGACATGGTCCATCACACTCTGAAATGGTTCATCACACCCTGGCATGGTCCATCACACCCTGGCATGGTCCATCACATTACATGGTTCACCACACTCTGACATGGTCCATCACACTCAGACATGGTCCATCGCACCCTGACATGGTCCATCACACCCTGACATGGTTTACCACACCCTGACATGGTTCATCACACCCTGACATGGTCCATCACACTCAGACATGGTCCATCGCACCCTGTCATGGTCCATCGCACCCTGTCATGGTCCATCACACCCTTACATGGTTCACCACACCCTGACATTTTCCATCACACCCTGGTATGGTCCATCACACCCTGGCATGATCCATCACACCCTGACATGGTTTACCACACCCTGACATGGTTCATCACACCCTGACATGGTCCATCACACTCAGACATGGTCCATCGCACCCTGTCATGGTCCATCGCACCCTGTCATGGTCCATCACACCCTTACATGGTTCACCACACCCTGACATTTTCCAAAACCCCTGGCATGGTCCATCACACCCTGGCATGGTCCATCACACCCTGACATGGTTCATCACACCCTGGCATGGTCCATCACACCCTGGCATGGTCCATCACACCCTGGCATGGTCCATCACACCCTGACATGGTTCATCACACCCTGGCATGGTCCATCACACCCTGGCATGGTCCATCACACTCTGACATGGTTCATCACACCCTGGCATTGTCCATCACACTCTGACATGGTTCATCACACCCTGGCATGGTCCATCACACCCTGACATGGTCCATCACACTCTGACATGGTTCATCACACCCTGGCATGGTCCGTCACACCCTGGCATGGTCCATCACACCCTGGCATGGTCCATCACACCCTTACATGGTTCACCACACTCTGACATGGTCCATCACACTCAGACATGGTCCATCACACTCTGACATGGTTCGTCACACCCTGGCATGGTCCGTCACACCCTGGCATGGTCCATCGCACCCTGACATGGTCCATCACACCCTTACATGGTTCACCACACCCTGACATGGTCCATCCCACCCTGGCATGGTTCATCACACCCTGGCACGGTCCATCACACCCTGGCATGGTCCATCACACCCTGGCATGGTCCATCACATCCTGGCATGGTCCATCACACTCTGACATGGTTCATCACACCCTGGCATGGTCCCTCACACCCTGGCATGGTCCATCACACCCTGGCATGGTCCATCAAACTCTGACATTTTTCATCGCATCCTGGCATGGCCCATCACACCCTGGCATGGTCCAACACACCCTGACATGGTCCATCACACCAGACAAGGAGTGTCACCTTACACTGTCACAGTGTCCTCCGCACCATAACATGGTGCCCTCCACCATCTCACATCAGACCCTCCAAGATCTCACATAGTACTCCTTAAACCCACTCCATGCCTTGACATGGGGCCCCCACGCCTTTATTTGGTGTCCCTTTCCCCGTCCACTCCCTGATATGGAGTCGCCTCATATTTCCCTCTCATCACGACAATCTTAATTCCATCTCTCACAGCCACACCACTTTACTGTCGCTCTATATCCTCTTCCAAAGCGAAATTAAATTATTTTCCCGTCCTCACTAGCTATTTAATACTAATATATATATATATATATATATATATATATATATATATATATATATATATATATATATATATAAATATATATATATATATATATACATTATTATATATATATATATATATATATATATATATATATATATATATATATATATATAAATATATATATATATATATATATATATAATATAATGTATATATGTATATATGTATATATCAATGTACCACGCAAAAACAAGAGGGTATATACAATGAAAGGTCGGAGTCAGCAGGGCTCGAAACTGCTACTGAGCTGCCTGGGAATCTTGTCCGTCTCAGTATCAGTATTGAATCCTGCTGACTGCGATCATTCTCTGTATATACCCGCTTGTTTATGCGTGGTGCGTTGATATGAAAATCGCTTGTGAGGTCAGAAGAAACAGGAGGAGATTGAAGTATAAAACAACATTGTATCTTATCAAGAAAGTCGCTAAACTCAAGATTTCCCGTTATATTCTTCCAGTCTGTTTGTCTAAAGTTAAAATCTCCCATAAAAACATTACGCATTCACTGTAAAGGTTTGGTGGCCTCCAGATCACTCCCAAGATGAGTTTTTCACATCCCTCCAGAAAATGTTAACTAACAAATTTCGTGTTAGTCGCTTCTAGTCTAACGCAACAGTTTAAATTATATCTGACATACTTATCACTCCACAACCCTTCCTATTGACTCTAATGGTGTGGAATAATTAATAGTCTTGCATGTAGAATTCAGAAGGCCTCTCTATCTTTCAGGTTGAACCAGGTCTCTCTTATAGCAATAATATCAATGTTTCCTGCATAAGCAGTTAATCTTAGGTAATCTAGTTTATTTCTGACGCTCCTTCTGTTAGTATAGTAAGAGAACTAGTCATTCACTGGCCTCAACTGTCTCTCTCAGTTTGCATTTATTAGTAACTTTGTGATGAACAATGTCTTTTGGACATGTCCTTGAGGTATCCTTGAAATTTTTTGCTATGTATTGCGAGTTATTTAGAGTAACTGTCTAGCCAGCAAGTTACACCAATTGCCTTAGACATCCATTCATTACCTACTACTCTTCTAGGCAAAATGCTACATGTGATCGGGATCTCTCCCTTTGATACAATTAAATCGATAGCTATCCAGTATATATCTAGCAGCTCCTGTCTCCTGTCCTTCCCAATATCATTTCCACCAGTATCAAGGGAGATAATGGGCTTGTTCCTATTACCTGACATGATATTATCAAACCCATTGACTATGTCACCAGCACTAGCTCCTGGGAAACACATCCTCTGTCTCATCTTCCTCTCTCTGTCACAGAAAGCACGATCAATTTATCTTATCAATTATTCTCCGGCCACAAGGATATTCCTGCCTACATTAGTAGAGGAGTTAGTATTACCCATATCCTCACTTATTTCTGAAGTACATTTGTACTGGAGAACAGAGAAGCCATTTCCTACCTTCAAATCTTCTCTTTTAAACTTCTTCACTTTGTTGTTTCTTCCTCTGCTGGAAACTTCTACCCAACTGTAACGGCTACCAATCTGCCCCTCACTACAGGTAACATGTTTTCCTTCGCTAACCTCAAGCACCTCACATGTATTGCTATACTTATCCAAGTGAATTTCAATTTCTTATTTTCCTCCTTGAGAAGTAGAACCTCCTCCTCTAAAATCCTGAACTAGAACTTTAAAATACTACAGATGCAAGTCATGGTACTCTATAACACTCCACACTAATCCCGCAACACAGCTTAAGCAGGTATGACCTCCCGTGACCACTGACCAAACACCACTGTAGTAGCAGTAGTAATAGCAATGTTCACTATTATGATACAGTTTTACCCAGTCTTTCTCGGGCCTCAGGAGAGGTAAACACCATATCTTACACAAATGAAGCCACCAACATCTCAGACGTTGACCCTGTGATGTTATGTGCAGACACGTATGCAACTGGGCAGCAGCACATTGCTTACGTATCCAGTTTAATTAAAAAATAAACAAAATTAATTTTGTTCATTAGCCTTCTACCTTGTACACTATGTTTTGATCCACTTCCTTCTTCTTACAACCTCTCCTCATCTCTCGATCTCCTTCAAGCTTTTTTTTCCCGTCTCACGGGTACATTTTTTCTCTAATAAATACAACCCATCTCAGGTTCCTCGAGAGTTTATGCGTCCTCAGCCGCCTCGGATGGAGGGCTTCAACACATACACGTCGTCGCTGCTGTTACTGGTGTCCGCGGAGAGGTTGTGGAAAGACCAGGGACAACTTGCGTTGCGGTGTGTTGCAGAGATCCCGGGTCTCTTCCGTGAGACAGCCGAGTTGGAGCTGCACAATGCAGCCTTCAGACGTGCCCAACTCTCCGGGCTCTTCGCTGCTGGTGGGTGTATAGCAAGCTTCCCTCTATCACTGGCAGCTTTCTGGTAAAGTTTTGACAGGTTTGAGGAGTTCATTAAATGCAGTAATTCAGTTAGTGTAGGTACCAATAAATTTCTTCGTGTTTTTTTTTTAGTTACCAGTTTGATTTCATGGATTGTGGAAGAGCTGTAGGTCGTGGTTCCTTCTAATAAGTTTCAAATGGCTTTTTTTAAATAGCCTCGCCATATCGTTTTTGAACTCTTGTATGGAATCAGACTCAAAATATAAGGGTCTTTCAGTTTATGAAATTTTTTTAAACCACGCGTAGGTAAATAAAATGATTATTGACATCCCTGTATCTCATAAAGTTATGTAATTTCCAGTCATTATCTGTTGTAATAGTTAGGAATCTTCATTCGGAAACGTTTCGCCCACACAGTAGGCTTCATCAGTTGAGTACGAAAGGCAGTAGAGATGTGAAGACGAGGTAATCAGTGCAACACCCTTGAAAACGTAGTTCTCAGGTGATTAGTCCCTTGGCCTGGATAAGAGATTTGCTCCAGAGTCTGGAACAATGTGAAGTTGAAGCAACAGCATGGAGACTTATATACTGTCAAAGGTGAGGCGCAGCCCACTAGCAGAAGAAAGAATATAATCATTGAGAAGTCCGGGTCCTCTCAGATCCATTCATTCTCACTGGAAAAAGATGTTGAAGGTGTTTTCTGTACCAAAATGTCGTTGTGTTGCAGCATCTGATAGAGTGAATATAATAATGGTATACAATACAGCCAAGTTCATAAGTACACATACAATAATTACGTATCTTTAATCCAAAACGTTCGGAATAAGGATACCTAACTGTTGTGCAAGTTCATTGTACGTGTTCATTCTATTCATTGTTACAAATGGGGACCTGACCAAGTACGTTCGATGAGTATTTTATAAGATACGTTTGTCTGTCTATCTGTCTGTCTGTCTATCTGTCTGTCTGTCTCTCTGTCTCTGTCTCTGTCTGTCTGTCTGTCTGTCTCTCTGTCTCTGTCTCTGTCTGTCTGTCTGTCTCTCTGTCTCGGTCTCTGTCTCTGTCTGTCTGTCTGTCTGTCTCTGTCTCTGTCTCTGTCTGTCTGTCTGTCTGTCTGTCTCTCTCTCTCTCTTTCTCTCCCTCTCTCTCTCTCTCTCTCTCTCTCTCTCTCTCTGTCTCTCGATTTTCCGAATAGTTTAAGTATTTATAGATGCTTTACGTAAAGTGAACGACCTCTAAATTTTCCAGCTCTGATATCTCTTCGGTCTTATAATACTTTGTAAGCACCGATATATATATGAGACCTGAAGGCAAATTAAACAATAGTAATAGATTTGTGTGATTTGTTCGAAAAGTTATTAGAAACAACCCCATGAGATTTCCAACCTTTGCTGCATTTGCCTAATTGCATTCTGTAAATGATGAATACAGTAACATAATTATTGTTCTTACTCTCTATGGGATAGTGTTCCTGCGTTCTGTTATATCTGTTATTCTCTTGTGTTCAACGAACATTACAATCTCCTTTCTTAAAAATTAGTGCTACACTTGCTGTCTTCCACACCTCAGGTAGTCGCCCTTTTTCGATAGATGAGTTGATGATTGTTGTTAGAGGCACGTACAGCACCTCTGCTCCCTCTCTCAGGTCCCACACAGAGATATTTTCCTGTCCCACCGCTTTTGCGGTATCTAGTAAACTTAGCAGCCTCTTTACCTCCTCCTTCTCGGCTGTGCATTGTATCCAGCACTTGTTGGTGTATCCCACCATTCCGGGTTTCTGGAGCCCTTTCTGTCTCCGCTGAAAATTATTATTATTTTTATTATCACACTGGCTGATTCCCACCAAGGCAGGGTGGCCCGAAAAAGAAAAACTTTCACCTTCATTCACTCCATCACTGTCTTGCCAGAAGGGTGCTTTACACTACAGTTTTTAAACTGCAACATTAACACCCCTCCTTCAGAGTGCAGGCACTGTACTTCCCATCTCCAGGACTCAAGTCCGGCCTGCCGGTTTCCCTGAACCCCTTCATAAATGTTACTTTGCTCACACTCCAACAGCACGTCAAGTATTAAAAACCATTTGTCTCCATTCACTCCTATCAAACACGCTCATGCATACCTGCTGGAAGTCCAAGCCCCTCGCACACAAAACCTCCTTTACCCCTCTCTCTCCAACCTTTCCTAGGCCGACCCCTACCCCGCCTTCCTTCCACTACAGACTGATACACTCTTGAAGTCATTCTGTTTCGCTCCATTCTGAAAATACTTCCTTAAATCTCATGTTGAGTTCTTCACATACTTCTCGGTCATTTCTTTTGATCTTCCTTCCTTCCTTTCTCACTCTGATTACCAGGTCCTTCACTGTTGTTTTCCTCCTGATGCAGCTGTATAACAACTTCAGGTCAGACATAGCTTTCAGTGCAATATCATTTTCATATTGCGGCTGGGCCCCCTCCTTATCTGTGCATATACCTTTCTGGCTCTTCGACTAATCTCCTTATTTTCCTGGGTCGTTTTCTTCTAAACTTTTTTCCATTCGAGCCCTTGGGTGAAAAAAAGGTTCGTTCTGGTCTTCCCATTAGTTCTGTTGCCCATGTGTATGAACCTCTTCTCTGACTCCTTGCATATTGTTGTCACATATTCCATCATTTCATTTAGTGATTTTCCCCATCAGTTCTCTTTCCCACTGAATCTCAAGCAGAAATTTTTTCATGCTTGTGTAGTACCCTTCTTTATAGTTTGGCTTCTCCCATCTTACTCTTCCTGCTTCGCTCTTTCCTTGTAACTCTACTATGTATTCGCAGCTCAGGACCACGGGGTCACTAGCTCCGAGGGGCATTTCACGTGTTGTCCTCGATGTCTGAACTACTCAAGGTGAATATGAGGTTCAGTCTTGTTGGGTCATCCTCCTCTGTCCCTAACGTAGTGATGCATGAGGTTTTTCAGTACTACCTCCATCACCTTAACCCTCCATGTTTCTGGTCAGTTTCGTTGTGACTGAGGTCACCCCACTAGTAACTTTGCCCTGCTCACGTGGGCCCTTCTGGCTACCTCAGCTAGTGCATCAACCATTACTCTGTTGCTCTCATAATATTATTGTCTTGGCCTCTTGCTATTCTGTGGTGGGTTATACATGACTGCAATCACCACATTGGGACAACCAGTCTGAAGTGTTCCTACTATGTAGTCCCTTACTTTCTCTTTGTCCCCTCTTTCCAATTCCTCGAAACTCCACAGACTTTTGCTGAGCAGTTCAACTCCTCCACCCCCTCTTTTCCCCCTATCTTTCTTGAGGATCGGATATCCAGTTGGAAATATTGCGTCTGTTATCATTCTTGCGAGATTGGTTTCCGTGAGTGCTATGATGTCTGGTGATGCTTCTCTGATTCTTTTGTGCTACTCCTCACACTTATTTGATATTCCATCAGCGTTGCTGCATCCTACCTTCAGCTTCTTTACCAACACTGTATTCTGGGGGATTGTGGGAGACTGGAGGAGTGGGAGACCTGTGCATTTATACATGTGCATGTGTAGCTGTACATGTGTAGCTGTACATGTGTAGCTGTACATGAGTAGCTGTACATGAGTAGCTGTACATGTGTAGCTGTACATGTGTAGCTGTACATGTGTAGCTGTACATGTGTAGCTGTACATGTGTAGCTGTACATGTGTAGCTGTACATGTGTAGCTGTACATGTGTAGCTGTACATGTGTAGCTGTACATGTGTAGCTGTACATGTGTAGCTGTACATGAGTAGCTGTACATGTGTAGCTGTACATGTGTAGCTGTACATGTGTAGCTGTACATGTGTAGCTGTACATGTGTAGCTGTACATGTGTAGCTGTACATGTGTAGCTGTACATGTGTAGCTGTACATGTGTAGCTGTACATGTGTACCTCTGCGTGTATATATTTGTTCGTATATCCGTTGTTTATTCAACATGAATCTGCTTCATTCTACTCTAAAACATTTTGGAATTACATTTCATTATGTTATTTTATTTATCAACACTTCTACTTCTGCGATAATTAGCCTGTGCATTTATCATAGACTTACGGGAAAAACCTTTATTTTGAAACTTCGTCTTGCTATTTTAATCATCACTGTTGCGTTGTTAGCTCTTCTTGTTGCCTGCTATGTTATTAACCTGTCGATAAGATAGGAAAGAAATATATGTTGTGTGGAAAAAGTAATCCCAATATCAGATCACGTGTATGTGGATCAAGGAGGAATGATGAATTAGTGTGGGAAGGGATAGATGAAAACTGTGGTGGCTCACATTATAGGATGAATTGAGATGGATAAAAGGTAATACGGGTTTGAGTCTCTTAAGTGCAGGTTATTTTTGTATTGTTTCTGCCATGGTGTTGCTAGTTCTTATCCTTTAAAAGAGGCTTTACTTGCGATATATTGACTAGTGTTAAAAGTTAGCATCTCTAATGTTTATACATATAGTATTGGAAGAAGAGGGATAGATGACAACTGTGGTGGCCTACATTATGGATGAACTGAGATTGGTAGAAGGTAAAAAGTTGATTGCTAAGGTGAAAATGAATTTGTGAAGTTTGGTAGGAAAAGAAGGGAACCCGGGGGGAAATAGGGGGGAATAGGAGGACAAGGTTTAAAGGGTAAGCAAATTAAAATGGACGGGGTTGGAAATTTTTTAAGATACTTTAAATTTTTGTTTATAGATTAATTTTCTATGTAGGGAGATGGTTTTGTTGTATAAAAAAATTGGCGGAATAAATTTGGTAAGCCCATTTTAGTTTGGTGTATAAAGTGAAGAGTGGGGTTTATAAAGTTTTTTGTGGTAAAAATTGAATGGAGAAAAATTTTTAAAATGGTTGGTGGGTTTTTTGGGGCTTTTAAAGGGGGCTTTTTAAGTTTCAAAATGGGGGTTGTTTGTAAGGGGAAGGGGGATAAAATTTGTAGTGTGTGATGGTGGTGGTTGTATGCTTGTGGGAAATTTACGGGTGTTAGTGTTCGTGAAATGAAAAA